AAAAAAAACAGAAGTGAAGGTGTGGCTCAAGTGGTAGAACAATAGCTTTGAGTAAAAAAAAAAAAACAGCTCAGAGAGAGGGCTTAGGCCCTGAGTTCAAGCCCCAGGACTGGCAACAAAACAAGCAAACGGGCTGGGAAGGTAGCTCAGTGGTAGAGAGCTTGCCTTGCATGCCTGAGGCCCTGGGTTCAATTCCTCAGCACCACATAAGCAAAAAGAAAAAAGCCGGATGTGACACTGTGGCTCAAGTTTTAGAGCGCTAGCCTTGAGCTGAAGAGCTGAGGGACAGAGCCCAGGCCCAGAGTTCAGGCCCCACGACCAGACCAAAAAACAAACAAACAAACAAGCAAACAAACTAAAACTAGTCTACTTGTGAAATATGTAAGATACATTTTAATTTTCTTTTTCCAAGTCATAGCTACCTTACAAGCACTGAAGCTCTTTTCCTTTTGATACTAGTTTTTGAGATTAGTTAAGAAAAAAAAAAGGGAGACAGCTAGCTTTTACTTGCTCCTTTTTCTCCATCAGCTGAAGCTTCTGGTTTACCTCTTGCTCATTGGCCTGCATTACACTATAATGAGTATCTGAATAACATGGCAAATCTGACGCATAAACAGATGCTGACCAGAAGCCATCCTTCCACCTGTGGGGTGTAGGCTGACTGACCTTCTCATTCATAGCCAAGATCATCATGAGTTTTCGGAAGAGAGTAACAAAATCTAAGAAGAGATCAACGCAGTGCCTGAAAGAGAAGAACAAGGTTACCAGTGGCCCTTCCCACTTTCCTTATCTATAAACTCAGTCCATAAGTCAGCTTCTTCAACACCACCCCAACTGAGGAAGTAAAAAAAACTAGGGAAGAGTGGGGTGATCTGGGATCCTATTCAACTCAATGGAGCCACATGGCACAAAGAGATTGGGTTTTGGATTGTGCAGAGGCCCAAATTTGAATCTTGAACTACCACTGCTATTATTTATGGAGACTTTAAAACTACTTAACAACTATGTCCATCTTTTCTCTGTTAAAGGTTTAAAGAATACAAAAAGTATACCAAGTCAGGTGCCAGTGGTTCATGCCTGTGATCCTAGCTACGAGGAGGCTGAGATCATGGTTCAAAGCCAGCCCAGGCAGGAAAATCCATGAGATTCTAATCTCCAACCATCAAAAATTTAAGAAGCCAGAAGTAGAGCTCAAGAGTTAGAGTACTAGCCTTGAGCAACAAAGTTCAGAGACAGTGCCTAAGCCTTGAGTTTAAGCCCTAGGACTGGTGTGTGTGTGTGCATACAAACACACATATATATACAGAGTAAAAGGAGAAAGACTTCTTTCCCTTTCTCCTGCCTGGAGTTGGCTACTATTAAAACTACAAAGGGCCAGGTGCTAGTGGCTCACAACTCCAATACAATAGGTAAGGGAGACCTCAAGGTCCTTGAGTTCAAGTCCCAATACTGGAACACGTGCACACACATACACATATAAAGGGATAAGGATGTAGTTCCGTGGTACAGCACCTGCCTAGCATATATGAGGTCTGGATTTGATCCCAAGTACCACCAAAATTAAAAATAAAAAGAATGTACATTAATCTAGTTTTTAAAAATCCAGTACCTTTTGGGAACTGAGAGACTCTGCTATTGGGACAAACAGCTCCAAAACCATGCAGCTATATGCACTCCTGAAGCCTGGTTACCTAAGTTCCACTGTGGACTGGAATGGGATGTTTCAATCTTTATTCTCAGTGCAGACCAGTTCCCACACTCACCAGATGTAGTCCTTATCTCCATTTTCAGCCTTTTCAATAATGAGTTGAGTATCAAAAAGGACAAAGCCACACATGACAACCAGTCCCATATACAGGTTTGCCTAAAGAAAGAAAAATGAGATTAAAATATAGTAATTAAATAGATAAAATATAGTAATTAATTAAAGTAGAGGGAACAAGCAGCCCTAGTTTCTGGCTTTTGGCCATCAAAAATGCTAACCTAAGGCACAATTCTGCTGTCATTCTTTTAGGTTACTGGAAAAGCTTCCATAGTACATATATCAAGCCCTTGCTGGGTGGCCTTAGATAAATGGTCTCTAAGTAACACTTCTTAGCAATGCCCAACCATTACATACTTTAAGGATTTGGAGGGATGGCCTAAAGGGCACTTCCTATCTTGGAAGAAGCTTAAATTAACCTGTTGCTTGAGGGTTAAGTGAGGAAAAAAAAAAGCATGAATCAAATGGTTGCAGAAAAAAATTAAATCTTACCTGGAAAAGCCAAATAGATCCAAAGAAAAGGTTCCCCAGGGAAGACAAAACCATCAGGCTCATGGCTGACATCAAAATACCTATTAAAACAGGGCAAAAAGTTATCTCAAGAGAAGCCAACAAATCAGTCCCATTATGGCCACTTTTTAGTTTCCTCCAAAATGAAGGCTTTTTAACAGTCAACCAGGGAGCTGAGGTAGAGGAGTCCTAGTAAGAATTCTGGCTAGAACACGGCCTCACCAAGATACCTGTGTCCAACTCCACACTTACCTCCCAGAAAGAGGTAGCTCCGGCGCCTTGCATAGAGAGCACTCAGGGTGAAGCAGGTGAAGATCATGGCGGTGCCCATGAAGGCAGTAGGAAGGATGCTGTTCAAGAAATATTCCATTAGCTTCAGGGCTCCAAGAATGTGGCCCATACTTAGAAAGTAAACTCATCAACGATTAAAAGGACATAAAGGAAGTGGCGCTGTAGCTCAAGTGGTAGAGCGCTTGCCTTGAGCTGAAGAGCTGAGGGACAGAGCTCAGGCCCAGAGTTCAAGCCCCACGGCCGACCAAAACAAAAAAACAAAACACAAACAAATAAAATGCTGATGGAAAAGCTGGGCGCTGGTGGCTCATGCCTGTAATCCTAGCTACTCAGGAGGCTGAGATCTGAGGATCGCGGTTCAAAGCCAGCCGGGGCAGGAGAGACCGTGAGACTCCTATCTCCAATAAACCACCAGAAAACCGGAAGTGGCGCTGTGGCTCAAGTGGTAGAGTACTCGCCTTGAGCTGAAGA